CAGGAGGCTGTTTATAACAACAACAACAGTTGATTGGGAAGTTTTCATGCTTGTAAACTGTTTAATAAATGTAACCAAAGCCGTCAAAGTTTGAGGAAAGATGTATGTGGGAAAAACTTGCCCGGATTGATATGAGAGGAGACTACTAGGGACTTGTACTGTACTAAATTAAAAATTACTGTCTTCAAATTAATTCAACTAAAGCTAGGGTCGTAAATCCTAGCTCCTCTATTCCTAATGACAGATTGTGGGCTGTAAGGGGCAGGTGGAGTGAATGAATTAGTTGATTGAAGTTTCAGTCCACCTGCAGACAAGTATCTCACATTAACTTGTATTTTTTTTTTATACAAGGATAAGATTTTAATAAATTCAGTTCAATGACTGAACAATGGTTCTGTTTAAAGCAGGGATTTAAACATATACATTGTCCAGCCTAGCACCATAACTATCAACATCCAATATATTCTTATACTAATAACGCAAAAATTTAAATTGTAGAAGTATGATATTAAATGACCTTAAATGTGGTCTAAGTATTATTAACTAAGTACTAAAAATTATATTCAGTTGGATAAACTTATATGATAAATTAAAGATAACTAAGCAAGCAATTGTTAACTTAATTTATATGTTCAAGGATATATATATAGATATATTCAATTTATATAGAGATTCAGTTGCTGCAATATTAATGAATACTCACTGAAATATGAGGCGCTGCTTCACCCTATAACCGGCAGAAAAACTTATTGGATATATTAAAGTTATACAAGCATACAATTGGCCACTTAATACACTAATAACATTCAATATACTTCTCTGAATGCTGAGTGCCTGTCTGACAGGTGTGCCTGATCAGATAACTCTCTTGTCGAGTTTAGGCACAATATTTTATATCACAGCTTTGCTGTATGATGTTCTAGTAGCATTGCTACATTATGGTCCCTAATTGAGGTTGCAATAGGTTAGGATGGGTGATGATGGTGGAGGTGGAGACAGTGTCACTTTGTGTGCTCCACTATACACTTATATAGAAAGTTCTAGGAATTTTTCCTTGTAGATATGTTGTCCAGGTACTCCCCCAGTTCTAGAGAGTAATCACTGGTGATAAAAATAATTCGATAAGGTGTCCTAAGTCGATTAATGTTGGCTAAGCACCGTCACACTTGTTTACTGTTTTGTAAACAAACGCGTTCTCGCTCTCGGGGTGTGGTGGGCGCTTCTCTCCCAGCCATTTCCCCCCCCCCCCCATGCTCCCTGAGCATGGGGGGCCTTCAATGAATATTGATTGATTATTTTTATTGTCTAGACATATGATTAAGATAAGATGTGATTATAATATAATTAGATATAGGATAAAAAGATTATAAGTAGTACATGATGGTACTACTGATTCTTATTATGGATTTGATTTAATCCCTACCAGAAATCGATTCAATTGTTCCAATAGTTTTTTAATTAAGAAATCCTTCTAGAAGCTTCTGGATCTTTGAGAAATCATGCACAAAGTCATGTAGGCACCCAAAGGCCCTATGGTCTATGTGATCATAGGCATTGTCTTGTATGATTTAGATTTAATGAATCTATAGTGATTCTGATATGATTTTGATATGATTTAGATAAGATTTAGATATGATATGGAAATATTACATTTCTTAGATAATAATATAGATATAGTGGGTAAAAATTTCCCACAATGTACACGTTCGTAGGTACTTGCGTAACAGCTTCGTGAATCTGGCCCCTGAACTACAAGGACCGCAGAGTCGAGGACCAACTCCTCTACGACCCTCCTCCCCTCCCGTCTCCCATTCTCCCCCCCCCCCCCTCCAGAGCAGAGAGAGAGATCCCAAATCCTTATCCTGACTCCTTCCAAGTACATTATAGTCGTAATGGCATGACGCTTTCCCCTGAGAGTTCCCGCCCCTTACAACAACTATCCCAACCTTCGCCACAAATAAATCGTTTTGATTAGAGGTTGAGGTTGAAGTGGCCAGCGTGGCAGCCATTCTGACTCATTAACAATCGCCCCCTAGGACACGTTCCACTTCCCGACTGAGAAATTCTATACCACTCTAAGCCAACGTTACTGCTAATTAAGTTGTTAAACTGGAAATGCTCGATTCTTCATCCTAGGCTAGGCTCGTTCAAGCGTCGGCCGACCATAAGAGGGGTAAATAAGTTCTAAAGCACAGTGAATTCAAAATCAATATTTACTCGACACTAAATTAGCAATGTTTTATAAAAAAAAAAAAAAATTTGGGTAGTCAGGTGTAGGTGACGCCCTGACCTGTCCATCATCAACCAGCCCGTCCATCATCAACCAGCCCGTCCGCATCAACCGGCCCGCCCATCATCAACAAGCCCACCTATCATCAACCAGCCCACCCATCATCACCAAGCCCGTCTGCATCAACCAGCCTGCCCATCATCAACCAGCCCGTCCTCATCAACCAGCCCGTCCTCATCAACCAACCCGACCTCATCAACCAGCCCGTCCTCATCAACCAGCCCGTCCGTCATCAACCAGCCCGTCCGCATCAACCAGCCCGCCCATCATCAACCAGCCCGTCCTCATCAACCAGCCCGTCCTCATCAACCAGCCCGACCTCATCAACCACCTCGTCCATCATCAACCAGCATGTCCTCATCACCCAACCGGTCCTCATCACCCAGCCCGTCCTCATCAACCAGCCCGTCCTCATCAACCAGCCCATCCTCGTCAACCAGCCCATCCATCATCAACCAGCCCATCCTCATCAACTAGCCCGTCCATCATCAACCAGCCCACCCATCATCAACCAGCCCGTCTGCATCAACCAGCCCGCCCATCATCAACCAGCCCGTCCATCATCAACCAGCCCACCTATCATCAACCAGTAAATCCTCATCAACCAGCCCGTCCATCATCAACCAGCCCACCCATCATCAACCAGCCCGTCCGCATCAACCAGCCCACCCATCATCAACCAGCCTGTCCATCATCAACCAGCCCGCCCATCATCAACCAGCCCGTCCGCATCAACCAGCCCACCCATCATCAACCAGCCTGTCCATCATCAACCAGCCTGCCCATCATCAACCAGCCTGTCCTCATCACCCAGCCCGTCCTCATCAACCAGCCTGTCCTCATCAACCAGCCCGTCCTCATCAACCAGCCCGTCCTCATCAACCAGCCCGTCCTCATCAACCAGCCCATCCTCATCAACCAGCCCGTCCTTATCAACCAGCCCGTCCTCATCAACCAGCCCGTCCTCATCAACCAGCCCATCCTCATCAACCAGCCTCTCCTCATCAGCCAGCCCATCCTCATCAACCAGCCTCTCCTCATCAACTAGCCCGTCCTCATTAACCAGCCCGTCCTCATCAACCAGCCCGTCCTCATCAACCAGCCCGTCCTCATCAACCAGCCTCTCCTCATCAACCAGCCCGTCCTCATCAACTAGCCCGTCCTCATCAACCAGCCCGTCCTCATCAACCAGCCCGTCCTCATCAACCAGCCCGTCCTCATCAACCAGCCCGTCCTCATCAACCAGCCTGTCCTCATCAACCAGCCCGTCCTCATCAACCAGCCCGTCCTCATCAACCAGCCCGTCCTCATCAACCAGCCCATCCTCATCAACCAGCCCGTCCTTATCAACCAGCCCGTCCTCATCAACCAGCCCGTCCTCATCAACCAGCCCATCCTCATCAACCAGCCTCTCCTCATCAACCAGCCCATCCTAATCAACCAGCCTCTCCTCATCAACTAGCCCGTCCTCATTAACCAGCCCGTCCTCATCAACCAGCCCGTCCTCATCAACCAGCCCATCCATCATCAACCAGCCCATCCTCATCAACCAGCCCGTCCTCATCAACCAGCCCGTCCTCATCAACCAGCCCGTCCTCATCAACCCGCCCGTCCTCATCAACCAGCCCGTCCTCATCAACCAGCCCGTCCTCATCAACCAGCCCGTCCTCATCAACCAGCCCGTCCTCATCAACCAGCCCGTCCTCATCAACCAGCCCATCCTCATCAACCAGCCCGTCCTCATCAACCAGCCCGTCCACCATCAACCAGCCCGTCCATCATCAACCAGCCCGTCCGCATCAACCAGCCCACCCATCATCAACCAGCCCGTCCTCATCAACCAGCCCATCCTCATCAACCAGCCCGTCCTCATCAACCAGCCCGTCCACCATCAACCAGCCCGTCCTCATCAACCAGCCCGTCCTCATCAACCAGCCCGTCCTCATCAACCAACCAGTACTCACACTAGGCTGGTTAAAGCAGCGGCCATTCTCCCCAGACACATTCAACAATTTTAACATACTGTGTATTAATGGTTGGTTCTCATATATAAATTAATATTCTTATACACAAAATTTATGTACAATTAGGCGTAGGTTAGGTTAGGTGTTTAGGTTCTGTTGATGATTATTTGTATTTGAAGTACTTGGGTGAAGCCTTTATAGAAATGCGAACAGAGGACGTGAGCAAAGCACTTGTTCCGAAAGTATTCAGACGTCATCGGATGTGAGTCGACTGTAAACGGTTTTTTTTATTCATAACCAGCGGGTTTGGCGGGTGGACGGAATTGACTTTGGCCCTTTGTTTAGAGGACGAGCTACAAATGCAAATAATTGCCAACAGGACCATAACACAGCCTAACCTACCCTAACGTAACCTACCCTAGCCTAACCTAACCTAACCTACCCTAACCTAACCTAACCTACTTTAACCTGATCAACCAACGCCTAACAATACAAAAAAATGCTACTAAGTGCAAATTTATTATATTACCGAAGACTCCAAAGTATAATACCAGAGACTCAGTATAACACTCAGACTCCTCAGTATAATGCTTGACATTCCTGAGTATGACACTGGAGACTAATGAGGATAATACTGGTGAAGACAACGAGTATGATACTAGGTATGACCATGAATATGATACTAGGTATGACAATGAGTATGATACTAGAGAAGACAATGAGTATGATACTAGAGTATCAAGAATGTGACTACTTCACTAACAAATACATTATTCAGCTTAGCTTCATATATGTAATGCAAAATAATGAAGTATATTTTCACCCCAAACAGGCTCATCATTCTGTTAAAACAGAACGCTTTTCAACGAGTTATTCATTGACTTATTTCAGCTATTGACAAAATTAGACATATTTGGCTCCACATGAACGAACAGATGAAATTATTCATAGTGAAATTATTCACCTGATCACATATTTCGGAGCTTGTTCTTTATAAAAATGTGGGTAAGGAAGAAACTAATAAAAAGGATAATGATTAATAAAGGGAAGAGAAACTTCATTTTTTCTGCGAGAGATGATCTCATTTCAGATTTCTTTCAGCGCTGCAATGGTATGGATGTTAGTCTGCCCCAGCAGACTTCTAAGCTTCCCCTTCCACACACTCAATCACTCTCTCACCCCCCCCCCCCTAAATATTTCCATTACCTCCCCTTTCAACAACACCCCTTCTGAAATCCTCATTCCTTACAACCCCTTCCGCTTATATCCTCAACTTCCCTCTTATACTCACCCAAAACCCTCACTATTTCCCCCCTTCACTCATCACCTGCACCCTCATTCCTCCTCCAACTCCACCCCTCCCCCGCCTTGATAACGAAGGAGAAGCCAAAAGGTCAGTAAATTGTATACTAATGAGTTCAATAATCACCCCCAATAACTCCCCACATTTCGAACAGCGATGTGAAAGCCACACTATTATATATACTAAAATATTAATATATTTTAGTAGCAGTCTTTCTTTTAAACACGTTTCGCTGAAAACGACAGAAGGTTTCTGATTGATGATTCTAGCACGAATCTTTTTGATATTCCTTATGTTTTTCTTCACTGAAGCAGGAAGATTAAAAATTAACTATCTAAAGTTTATTTTTACTGATTATTTGGGTCTGGCGTCTAGTGATGCGTTTCGTAAGGTTTCTCCTCATATTCTCAAAGACTAATTCTTCTGTGTAGCTCCTGATTATATCCTCTAGTAGTGAGCTGGTAGGTGACATTGATGAATGACATACATGGGGTATTAAATAAGTGGAGTATTAAATGACTGGGGTATTAAATGACTGGGGTATTAAATGAGTGGAGTATTAAATGAGTGGAGTATTAAATGACTGAGGTATTAAATGACTGGGGTATTAAATGAGTGCAGTATTAAATGACTGGGGTATTAAATGAGTGCAGTATTAAATGACTGGGGTATTAAATGACTGGGGTATTAAATGAGTGGAGTATTAAATGAGTGGAGTATTAAATGACTGAGGTATTAAATGAGAGGGGTATTAAATGAGTGGAGTATTAAATGAGTGGAGTATTAAATGAGTATGGTATTAAATGAGTGGGGTATTAAATGAGTGGGGTATTAAATGAGTGGGGTATTAAATGAGTGGGGTATTAAATGAGTGGGGTATTAAATGAGTGGGGTATTAAATGACTGGGGTATTAAATGACTGGGGTATTAAATGAGTGGAGTATTAAATGAGTATGGTATTAAATAAGTGGGGTATTAAATGAGTGGGGTATTAAATGATTGGGGTATTAAATGAGTGGGGTATTAAATGAGTGGGGTATTAAATGACTGGGGTATTAAATGAGTGGAGTATTATAATGAGTGCAGTATTAAATAAGCGTGGTATTAAATGACTGGGGTATTAAATGAGTGCAGTATTAAATGAGTACGGTATTAAATGACTGGGGTATTAAATGACTGGGGTATTAAATGAGTGCAGTATTAAATGAGTGGGGTATTAAACGAGTGGGGTATTAAATGAGTGGGGTATTAAATGACTGGGGTATTAAATGACTGGGGTATTAAATGAGTGGAGTATTAAATGAGTGGGGTAGTAAATGAGTGCAGTATTAAATGAGTGTGGTATTAAATGAGTGGGGTATTAAATGAGTGCAGTATTAAATGAGTGGGGTATTAAATAAGTGGAGTATTAAATGACTGAGGTATTAAATGAGTGGGGTATTAAATGACTGGGGTATTAAATGAGTGGAGTATTAAATCAGTATAGTATTAAATGAGTGGGGTATTAAATGAGTGGGGTATTAAATGAGTGGGGTATTAAATGAGTGGGGTATTAAATGACTGGGGTATTAAATAAGTATGGTATTAAATGAGTGGGGTATTAAATGAGTGGGGTATTAAATGAGTGGGGTATTAAATGACTGGGGTATTAAATGAGTGGGGTATTAAATGAGTGGGGTATTAAATGAGTGGGGTATTAAATGAATGCAGTATTAAATGACTGGGGTAATAAATGAGTGCAGTATTAAATGAGTGGGGTATTAAATGAGTGGAGTATTAAATGAGTGCAGTATTAAATGAGTGGGGTATTAAATGAGTGGGGTATTAAATGAGTGGGGTATTAAATGAGTGGGGTATTAAATGAGTGCAGTATTAAATGACTGGGGTATTAAATGAGTGGGGTATTAAATGAGTGGAGTATTAAATGAGTGCAGTATTAAATGAGTGGGGTATTAAATGAGTGGGGTATTAAATGAGTGGGGTATTAAATGAGTGGGGTATTAAATGAGTGGGGTATTAAATGAGTGGGGTATTAAATGAGTGGGGTATTAAATGACTGGGGTATTAAATGAGTGTGATATTAAATGAGTGCAGTATGAAATGAGTGCAGTATTAAATGAGTGCAGTATTAAATGAGTGTGGTATGAAATGAGTGTGGTATTAAATGAATGGGGTATTAAATGAGATATATATATATATATATATATATATATATATATATATATATATATATATATATATATATATATATATATTAATATATATATATATATATATATATATATATATATATATATATATATATGTATATATATATATATATATATATATATATATATATATATATATATATGTATATGTATATATATATATATATATATATATATATATATATATATACATATATATATATATATATATATATATATATATATATATATATATATATATATATATATATATATATGTATATGTATATATATATATATATATATATATATATATATATATATATATATATGTATATGTATATATATATATATATATGTATATTAGTATATTTGGTAGCAGTCTTTCCTGTAGACATATTTTATTAAATATGACCGAAAAGGTAAGATTAATAATTCTAACACGAATTTTCTCAATCTTTCGTACATTATGCTTCACTGTTGGAGGTAAATCAAAAATCACTTCTCCAAAATTCATTTTTATTTCTAGTCTGACGCGCCCGTGTCGCGTCAGACTAGAAATAAAAATGAATTTTGGAGAAGTGATTTTTGATTTACCTCCAACAGTGAAGCATAATGTACGAAAGATTGAGAAAATTCGTGTTAGAATTATTAATCTTACCTTTTCGGTCATATTTAATAAAATATATGTATATGTATATATATATATATATATATATATATATATATATATATATATATATATATATATATATATATATATATATGTATTATTAAATATGACCGAAAAAGTAGGATCAATAATTCTAACACGAATTTTCTCAATATTTCTTATGTTTCTTTTCACTGTCGATGGTAATTGAAAAATAAATTCTCCAAAATTCATTTTTATTTCTAGTCTAACGCGACACTTGAACGCGTTTCGTAATAACTTATTACATTTTCAAAGACTTTAGTTTACACACACACAACTATAACCTGAAAACACTAAACAAAGTTCTACTATCTACTATTCTGCTATCATTTAAACAGCTTTCATCTTATATACCCGCATTTGGGTGAGGTGATATGTTACAACAGTTTTGGATGAGGTGAACAAAACTTTCAACACAAGATAGAACACGAAACAATGGGTATAAATTGGGTAAATTAAAGGGAAGAATGGAAGTAACTGCAAAGGGCCTATTGGCCCAAATTTCTTGATGCTTCTATATTGGTGCGGAGTCTTGAAGTGGGTAGAATATAGTTGTGCATTAATTGACTGTTGATTGCTGGTGTTGACTTCTTGATGTGTAGTGCCTCGCAGATGTCAAGCCGCCTGCTATCGCTGTATCTATCGATGATTTCTGTGTTGTTTGTTAAGATTTCTCTGGTGATGGTCTGGTTGTGGGAAGTGAATATATGTTTCTTAATGGAGCCCTGTTTCTTATGCATTGTTAATCGCCTGGAAAGAGATGTTGTTGTCTTGCCTATATACTGAGTTCTTTGAGGCTTACAGTCCCCAAGTGGGCATTTGAAGGCATAGACGACGTTGGTTTCTTTTAAAGCGTTCTGCTTTGTGTCTGGAGAGTTTCTCATGAGTAGGTTGGCCGTTTTTTTTGGGTTTTATAGTAAATTGTCAATTGTATCTTCTGATTTTTGTCTGTAAGGATAACGTTCCTATCAACAATATCTTTCAGGACCCTTTCCTCCGTTTTATGAGCTGTGGAAAAGAAGTTCCTGTAAAATAGTTTAATAACCCTGCAACTCAGTAGTATCCCAACAACCAGTCAATTAGTGTCCCTGCAACCAGTCAGGCAAGAAATCTCTATCAAGCCAGTCGAGGCCTTGCGGGCGGTCAATGCTGGACTTTAAAGCGAAATCGGAACAAGGCTTTTGCAAAGTTCAAAACAACCAGTTAACTGTTATGCTGTGTTTTCCACCAACCCCTTGCAACCATCCCCTTGCAACCATCCCCTTGCAACCATCCCCTTGCAACCACACACATACAACAGTCATATTGTGCAACGATAATTACATTCCGGCCTTCGCAAAAATACATACAAATGTGTACCATTTTTGCCATTCTTTTAAATCGGAAATCATGGTGGATTAAAAAAAATGTGTAAATGAATAAATAATATATATATATATATATATATATATATATATATATATATATATATATATATATATATATATATATATATATATATATATATTTTAAGATGAATAGGAAAACCAGGGATATACTGAACATCTTGTATCAGAATCT